AAAAAAAAAAAAAACAGCTGGAGAGGAGGCATGAGTGTTGCAAACGTAACTCACTTCGTTGATTCCATGTGACTGTCAACAACACGGAGATGCTACGGGGAACGTAAGCTATGCGGTTCCCCATCTCACCACGATTGCACATCCCTTATATCCATTGTTTGACGCAATAGCGCAGAAAAGTATCGCTTCCGCAATTTTCTCCCCTCCCCTCAGAACGAAGCCACGTACACTGTCAGACTATCACACAACACGGCTTGAAACCCTCTTTTTCCACTTCGCTCGCCTGCCCATTTCTCTTGTTCGTCTTATTCTCCTTCCTTCCTTCGTTGTTATGTGCTTTCTCACACCGATGGGTCTGCCAGGTGCAGAGTGTCAAGAAATTTCTGTAGAAGCGGTAGGTGCTGCTCCCATTTACTGGTTTCTGTTTCCCAGCGAACCACAAGAATATCATGTGACCATGGGATTACGTACGAGCGACAGCTGTGCTCTTCCTTCTCCTCGTGCAGCTGTACACAGCGAATACCGTTGAGGTCACAGACAGTGCACGGAACCCGCTCCTTAGCCCAGTCTGTAAAATGAAACAAAACGTTATGTTTCAGCTCGTCCTCCGTGGCAATAAACTTTTCCCAAGTCGGTGGAACCTGCGTAATGCGTCGTATTGTGACTCGTGGCGGCACCACGCTCAGTGCAGCATCTGCCCCTTTCATCGTTGTGCCCTCTTCGCCGAGCGGATAGTACAGCATCAGCAGATCGTCAGTGAGGATTGGCTCACGGACGACGCCACCTCGCGGGTTCACGGCGAAGTGCACGCCAAGAGACGTGTGAGAAAAGGCTATGGTCACAAGATCCTCCTCCTCACACCAGAGCCGCGGAACATTACCACTAGCATTCTGACCAGCATCATTATCATTCTGTACGCCGCTGCCGATCTCCTCCACAGCGACCACTGAGACGAATGATGACACAGGGAGGGTGTCCTGGACGCCACAGGGGAACAATGTGTCAATCGCTGCTCCCTTCACAATCGAATCCAAACTGACGATGTCCATGAGTATCCTCCCGTCTGGCAACACATCCCCCTCGAGAATGAAAAGTGCGTTGCCTTTCTTCTTGCCTTTATTCCCTCCCACACTCCGCGCCGTCACCACGGTCGACACGGCAAACACAACGTTACGATTCTTGTGGCGACACGTCAGGCGCAGACGGCCCTCACACGACCCAGCTGGCGTGCCAGGCAAGCGCAGCCCATCCACCAGTGGCACAGAAAGGCACGCGTCGAGCAACACTTGAATGTCACACGGTGTGATTCTTTGCGGTGTAGCGTTGTCTTCATTTTTGTCACCACCATCATCATCATCGCCGCAATTTTTTGTTGTTTTTGATTGTACCACAAATTGCGTCAACACAAGCGAAATGACATAAGGCCCATTGCAGCCAAACATGAGGGCCATCTCTTCAGCCGGTAAGAGCATGGCATGGGTGAAACATCCAGAGACACATGAGAAACCTGCCTCTTCCAGAGGCACCACTACTGCACCGCTGCTAGCCACAGACTCCAAGAGAGGGGCACTCTGCACATACTTTGTAAAGAAGGATGCTGCATCCTCGGGTCGAACTGAATTTGACGCCCCATGCGTAAGCGGCCCGTCGCATATAATGAAACTGCTCCCACTAGCGCAAGTTGTGTCATTGTCGGCTCCGGGCTGCAGAAGAGAAATAGCCGCAAGACGAGGCGGGTAAAAAATGGGCGGGGCAACAGCCCATCCCTTGGGGAGTTTGTCCACATCCACCTCCACAGGGACGTTCAGCACAGCTCGCCGCAGCGCCGCCAACTCCCTTGCTTGTTCCTGCCCACAGGTTTCTCCCCTTCTTGACGACTTCGACTTCCTCCATCGCCAATATCCTATGGTAAAGAGCAGAAGACCACTTCCGCCTATCATGAGGCACTTGCTTACGCCCATATTCGGAGGACTACGCTGCATCTGCTAGCCGTCCTGTTTCGTTATTGTAGCCCACCGCGCCTCTCGCTATAGCTTGGATTATGCTTGACAAACCAGAAGTTAACAGCTTGTATAGACAAAAAAAAAAACCACATGAAATAACTCACGGAAAGCAAAAAAAAAAATATCAAGAACAACAACAGAGGACACGTGCACCTCACCGATGAGACGAAACTCACCCCCCCCAAAATGCAAAACACCTACAGAATACAGAAGCACCGGGACACATATTAGTTTATATGCCCCGTCACATCTTTTTTTTGGTTTACATGAACACTCCAGACAGCGCACTGCCACATTGCTGCTGTTTTTCATCAATAGACTCAAAATACAAAAAGAAGACTATTTCATTAATCCAATAAGAAAAAAGCTGGGTGCGCCCTATCTCCTTCCCCCAGTTGCACTGCGTGGCGTAAAAGCTGTGGGGCTGCCTGCGTTATCCACGCCCCTATAAAGACGCTCCTTTCCAAGTTTGCCGCGGATACAGCGATGAAGCTCTTTTTCGTACGCACGCAATGCACTTTCAAGCAACGGTTCGATACGTTCAGTTGCTACAGTGTCCCCTGTCTCTGGACGCGTTGATGCTGCGGGTTGCAGCTTCCCCTTTTCACCCCTCCTTGCAGACTTCCTTCCATTCCGTCGCGACTCAGACGAGTCCAATTTCAGCTGCTGTGGTGGCAACCCACATGATCTCAACGCACCACCCTCCGAAGGCGTCATGGACACACCGCAAAGCGACAACCCTTCACTGAATGCAGTCAACCTTGCTATGGAGTTTCCGTCATCGTTCGGCTGCGCCGAGGTTCCAACTCGTGACTTCTTTTCATGAACCAAGGTAGTAGGCAGACTGACAGGCTTGCACCACTCGGTTGACTGAACCAACACCTCTGGGATGGACCGACCTCGTTGCCGTGTCCCTGCGCCGGTTGCGGAGTTTTCGATACCGGCGTACAAAGAACGAGGTGGCGATTCGTGATCTCGCTCTCGAAATGCGCGCGGCTTCTCCTTCTGTGGGCGCCACTGCTTCTTCTCTTCGAGTGCCACCAGGCGTGCCGTTTCGGGGGCGGGAAATGGCGCTGCGATCTTGCTCTGTACTACGCCAACATCTTCTACATGGATACCGCTTATAACTTCTCCAAGCTGCACCGCTGGCGGCTCCGTCATTCCCCACGACACAACGCTGCCACCGGGCCGCCCGGTCAGCACAGGCAGTAGTGACATCCCTTTTGAAGACTCATGCTGTACGGAGCTATGACATACACCAACCCGGGCTGCCATTGTTGGACAACTATGACGCACCGTCAATCCGGATATAGGGATTGGTAGGGAGAAGGGGATCACCGACTCTTCTGAGACCCTTACCCAATGCTCTGCATGATCTACATCCTCCGCGTCCTCTAGTATGCGTCCAGGTGGAAGCCGGTCCATGAGTAGTTGCCCGGTCTCCTTTCCATCATGATCGAGTATCTTTACCAAGTGATCGGCACCACACGAAATGATGGCACTCAATGCAGGAAACCAAGACATGTAGTTCACAGGACTCTTATGCACAGAAGCGCTGTGCAAAATATGTGGTATGTATGACGCACTATCGTTTCTGTTTACCCCACAAAGTTGATATCGAGTTCTGTTCTCAAAGGAGCAAGGCTGAATGCCAAATGCCTGCAGGAACGGGCAAAGTGAATAGATAAATAAATTACCCTTCTGATCAGCCACAAACAGGCGATGTGAAATATCGTCACAGGCTATCGCAGAAAGACCACCGTTCATCTGGTCGTCTGCAGCAATGAGACGGAGCAACGCATCGAAGCCAAGCTTCTTTTTGTTCACATTCAATATATCCGGAGACCCATTACGAAGAGTACACTCCTCGGGTTCAGTTGTTTGTGGTGGTAGTGGTGGTGACCCCGTAGGGCTTCCAGCTGTAGTCACGGAGTGTTGAGACAACGGCACGGTACACATTGAAGCACCTCCTGTTTTCTCTGCAGCTCTACGTGGCGCTGTTGGCTCTGGTTGACCAATAAAAAGGGACACCAGTTGCGCGTGACTTTCCTCCGCAGGTGGTGTCGACCATAGGGCGAGCTCGCCATCATCACTGCCTGTTGCCAGCACCGGAAATTTGCCGAGCATCGCCATGGCACGCACAGGTCGACTCACTGAAATAGAGAAAGGGTGCATCTTCACCTGCTTAAAATCCACAAAGAAGAGGTTGCAGTCATCGCAGCAGCAAATAAGGCCTACCTCATCGCTTAACGTCAAGGCACGTAAAGGCTGAGAGGAGACCCCAATAGTGGTGGAGGAAACCCCAGCATCGTTCTCCCGACGAAGAGTGAGAGTTCCGTTTACTGCAATGCTCACAAGAAAATTATGCCGCGTGGTGAACATCATCTCCTGTGCCTTGGCTTCATGCATCCGAAACGTATCCACCAATCCAAAGGTCTTGGTCGAGCGAACTTCCACCATACCATCTGCAACGGCGAAGAAGGCGCGACTCCGTGGATGGTCAAGGCACATGGCGAGGACCTCCTGCTGCCAGTACGGAACGTCGGAGCAAACGGCACGGTCAAAGACGCGCTTCCGGAAACCATCCACAGCGTCCCACACCGATGTGCGCGTCGCGCCCTGGAGAATAATAGTCCCTTGTCGCAAGTCATGGTATGCGGATTGCACGACATCAACGTCAGCGACACGGCCATCAAGTCGATGGTTGTATCGAAGGCAATAAATAGCCTCAGATGAACTACACAAAATTTCTTGTGTGGACGGAAAGTAACCAAGAGACCGAATACACCGCGCATCACCCTTACGTACAGCGCGATGCGCAAGAGATTCGGTGTCCTGGTAACTCACCTGATCTCCATATATAAAGTCCACGTTGAGTTCATCCCCCACACTACCATCTGCATACAACGTTTGCATGCAGCGAAGCATGCGCAGGTCCCAAATCTTCACCCAACCCGCGCTATCAGTAGTAACAACCTGCGGTAGTCCTAGAGCATTGCACAGCCCGATCACCTCTGCCATGTGCTGCTTTGCCGAATCGTCCCTAAAAACGGCTCCGGGAGTTACCGCAGAAGAACGGACATCCCACAACATGAGCCGATTCGAGTATGTTACACACGGCAGACAAGCGTATTGACGGTTGTACTCTACAAAGCGAATTGTCTCACGCGGGCGCCCAATAAGAATGGAGCGACCCGTCTCTAGGTTTGTCGATAGCAGTCGGTGATCAAACCCTGTAGAGAGTAGCCATTCATCAGTCAGTGCGAAATCCGTGATGCCACCGGCGTCGCGAGAATGCAGTCCTCCGTATATGCGCGCCTGTGACACTTCCATCACAGATCGCTGCCTGGGTACTTGCCAGTGCACAACACTGCCGTGGCTACCACCAGTAAAAAAGGAGTGCGGCATCGTCCTGGGCTGCGTGCGAATTCGGCGGAGTGCATCATCTAAAACAAGCGGGTTCAGCGTTCCCATGCGATTGCAAGAGACCACGCTCCACCACCCACGAATTGTCTTGTCGTACGGCGAATAGGCTAATAAAACATCTGGGTGAGGCAGGTATTCAATCAACTGCGGGTGCGTGTCTCCAAGATCTTTGGAGCTGAACTTCTTGACCACGCTAAAATCTCTCCGACTCAACAACATGAGTGGGTCAGCGCGTGTAACGGCAGCAAAGAGCGACTTGTGTTGAGGAAGCGCATGAACCACCTGGATGAGTTTCATCCGAGGTGAATTCCGCGAAAATGAGTACGATCGCATCTCTTCTGTCATGATAGTGATGCTTTGTGTGGCTTCTTCCACGGCCAGCTGCAGTACATCATCCCATGAAATAAAGCCGTCTCCATCGCCGTCGATCTTTTTAAAAAGCACTTCAAAAGCGTTGATATCTGTATACTCATCCAAACGTTGGCGCGATGAGCGCCTTGGCACGCTCAGTGACATGCGATAGCTGTCGTGCAGCGCGTCCAACACACCTTCCTGCTGTATCGTTGATACAACGGCGTCAATGTTGTGTGACGAGAGCGTCGAGGTATGGTTCTTGACGCTTGACACCGCAGACTTGACGACACTCCGCAAACCTATGCGGGATTCTTCTCTTGTATTCCTCACAGTTGACCGTGGGGCATGAAGCCACCCACAGCCAACCGTCCGCCCTCTCTTCATCGCCATGTGGCGGGACAGCACCTCGCGAAAGACATCCATTGTCATCCCGTTGGGAAAATGGTCGAATTCGCGCTGCATGGCATTAAAGCCATCCTCGCTGCTGGAGAGCAGGGAACATATTTTCAAGGTGCTCATCGAACACTGGAAGGTCGCACCACTGTCCTGTTTCTTTTCTGTGTAGCCGCCTTCAGCCTTTGTAGAAGGCTGCGACTCCCCACACCAGCGGCGTGTACCACGCAATGCAAGAGCAAAAAAAAGAAAACACGAAAAAAGAGAATAACCACAACAAAATAGAGACAAGATGGCCCAAGAAAGCGAGACAGAGAAAGAGAGAGAACGAGATAACGCACATACTCCCACAACCGCTTCTGTCAGCAATGCTATTCATCCCACCTCCCTCTCTCTTTATGCCTTCTTATGTACATGGAGAAACGGACTGGACGATCTCACATGGCTGCTGGTGCTGCTGCAGCGGTTATCAGAGCTCCTCACTAAAAACAAATCGGCACAAAAAAGGAGAAATACGAAGCCCCGAGTAACTCTATCCTCCGTGGCGCCACACAACAACATTGGCGCCATCCAACTGAAAGTGGCAAAATGACCGTGTTTGATAAGTCACATACGTGGCAAAAGACCTTCCATAAATGACGTGCCACGTTCCACCCAGCGCGGCCTCAACATTCTTCTTAATCATCTGTGCAATGTCCCGCACAGCTGTGCGCTCCACCTCACGCTCGAGCTCCTTCCTAGACCCCTCCTCCTTCCGCCACGTGTTGCGTGTGGGGACAAGCACGAATTTGTTGTACGCCTCCACGGCGATGTTGATGATATTCTGCAGCGTCTCGTCGGGCACATCGGTGCATACCGCCATGCGCGAGAGCGTTGCGACGCGCGGGTCGAGCTCCGACTCCGCGCTGATGAAGATAGACGAGCGGCCGCTCACCGGCCCCATGGAACTGCTGCGGGCCGAGCGCCGCTGCCCGGACCCACTGGTGTTCGC